ATCGCCTCAACCACCGGTTTCAGATGTCGTTTGTAGGCTTCTGGATCATGGTTTCTTACTTTTAGTCAAAACCCTGCAGTACATGCAAATCACTGTTTGCCTATCTGAAATCCGGCTAGCTCTGAGCCTTCGATTCCACTCCTCGTTTGCATCATATTCGAGGATTTACAGACTGGCGACTCTCAGGCCGAGGCATCTTCTTCTCCTTAAGCCGCACACCCATCACTCAAGTATCCTCTATCTCATCTCCACCACATTTTATCTTATTCTCTGGGGCCATGTGTCAGGCTGGATTCGGGCTCGCTGGGTTGGAAATGGACGGCTTCCCTTCTCCACTCCTGATTCATGTAAAGTACACTTCTCTTGTCTCTCCAGATAACAGTTCTACATGATCACTAATTTCTAGTCAGGTGTGCATGAGAATGTTGTTCCGTAACCTCCCTAGTCAGGAATATCACCAGTCACCTCTCATTAAAGACACAGTCCCTCCCCACACACTCGCAAACTGACATTGTAACATGCTCTTCCTTCTCTATACACTTTGAATCGAACTACTATTCCTTAACCACTAACTGAAAGTGTGGACTTGCATTCTTCGCATAGACAATTCACCATATGATAACCATCAGCCAAATAGAACTACATCATATATATATTAAAATATATTATAGTACTCTATAATATGTATATATATATATATATATATATACAATGTTATAATTAACAACCATACACATTTTAATAAATTTTATAAAAATTCCTTTTTTTCCTATAGGCGTGTCCTACTGGAATTGCAACGAAGGATACTTTCTTCAGGGTTTATCTCAAGTTTTTTCCCCCTGGCTGTGAGTTATGTTATTCGAAGTAAATCATTAATATTATTTAAATGAATACATCCAATTATAATTATAAGGCTGCCCCTCTTAATCCCAGCCTAAGTGCTTGCTTCAAACAAGGTGATTTGAAAAAATGTTAAGCTAGACCTCATAGCGGCTAGAGAGTGGAATACTTGTAATTGGAACCTATGTGCTTTTCTCCCCTTTCCTCTAATTTGGTTGCTTTGAGTGAAACGAATTCTCCATCAATTCATCCTGACCGATTCCTTTGATCTTTGCGGTATTTATAAGTTTATTCAGAATGAATTTATAAGTCGACATCGTTCTCAATATTTACCGTGAGCATCAATGAGTTGCCTATTAACGAAATTTTCAATGAGCTAGCCAATATGTCACAATAAATTGGGTTTCTGTTGTCACATTACTAGGTAAGTCTTTAGTAGTCATTTCCACCTTTACGAAAGACAACAAGATCTACAGACTAACAAATCGCTATTAGTTTATGCGTGCTTGGTTATGAAGAAATTTTCAGTAGGTCTCATTCAATTCAGTGCCGTAGAGACAATTGCATTTTGCGTTGAGTCCGGTTTGAATAGTAGATATGGCTACTAACAATGATTCTCTCGGCTGTTTCCTTGTCTTGTTTGCTATCCTGGCTGCCAAGACCGCATTGATTGTATACGGAGGTCGATGAATGAATTTCGTGCGTGATACCACCGTACACGTCCAAATTCCACGACTTTTTGTTCATAAGGACTGGCGTTGGTATGCCACTTCATACAAGTAGTGGTATGAATGAATCCTTTGAGTGTACTTGTGCCTGTGGGGCAGAATAAGTCTTAGAAAGCGAACAACTCGGCCACTTGGACAAACAAGGCTGTAGGCTAAATAACTTGTACAGAATTGTAAAAAAACCTATTTTAACTGCGCTCTCCTCAGTTTTGATGCAAGATAAAAGATACCAACTAAGCATCCAGCATCAAGACAATGCATTTCACCGAGAACTGCGCATTGATGCTTGCGTGGACAAGCAAGAACGGGTGTCTCGTGTGGCAGCGGTCGCATTCCAGACGGTTCTATCTGTACCTTTCGGTACAACCTCTCCACCCTCCGACAATTGTGTCGCCGCCATGCCTGCCCACAACACATTAGCCATACTAGCCTATTGCCTCTGAGGGGGGAGGGGGTGGGAATCCTAACAGCGCTACATTCTGGACGGCAATAAACGGCATGGATACGCGATGCCGAACAATGGCGTGGTAAAGCAAGCCTCCTTTTACTTTTGATATGGACGGGCTGAGTATCGAAGCCTAGACACGCCACTCTACAGATCGTGGACTTCAAGCTTAGGACGCGATTTGCTGATAGGCTTCGTGTTCACTGTACTGTACTACATTTGTTCAGACACTCAGAAAGCTGAATTTGCCCAGATTTACCGGAAAACTCTTCGGGGGTTACCCTCGTCGGTTGTAGATAGCATTCCAGAAAGTATGAAGTGCTTGAAAGCGCCAATGCACTTCGTCGATCCTCGTATCAAAGAGCAGAATTCATTAGCATCTCAATGAGGCTTGATGAAATAGAGAACAGGCAGCCTTTACTAAAGGACCCTCTTGGTTTAGATCCAATTTCACTTTGCTGGAGGAGATAGCCTTTTGGAATGTAAGGCGGCTTGAAATTTTATGATATCTACTTGCTAAAAAATTCAACTATCAGTCTTCATTTCATCTTAAGCGACTAAGTTTGACCAACTTATCATTCAAGTCTTACTGGTAGTCTCAATACTACTTATACCGAAAATAAGTAGCGCCATTTGTTGCAATGGCAAACAAATGTTTTCTTATGCGAAGAAAAGTTGGGTTTCGAGGAATCGCTTATTTCATAATTGTTGGGCTTACTTACATTTCGAGAGAAGGGGTTTGGTGAAGAGATTTGAAGGTCGATTCCACCAGAAGACGACGGCAGACCCCTTTTGACCAGCTATCGATTGGTTTACTGGAACACTCATGGTGACACTGTTTCCTAGGAAATCTCTTTTAATTCCGGTGAAATGAAAGTAAGCTCAAA